AGAGCTGCCCTGTCTTCACCGCTGAAGCTCGACGGTCGGTAGCGCCGCTGCAGCAGGCACCCAGGGTGAAGAGTCAGCTGCCATCGCCTGTGGAAGACGAGGAACTGGCTTTTTTTTTTTTATGTCGTGCAGTTAGATAATGATGTCGGGGAGGTATGGACCGCTTAAGGTAGGAGTTTTAATCACTTGAATTCAAAATAAGGAAAACTTCCTGTCAGAGGTGAGGCCTGAGCAGAGCACGTCCCCTCCTCGGTGCGGTAGGAGCCCCTCTCTTCGTGAAAGTGCAGACAGTGGCTCGCTACCAGCCCTCACCCCGACTGGGGATCAACAACCAGCCCGACGGTCTTGGGCTTCGCTTTGATTGTGTTCAGGTGTGCCTGGCATCCTGGCCTTGGCTAGAGAAATCCTAGAAACCAGAGGCCCAGTAAAGGATCATCAAGTTGGTTTGGGGATGCTAAACAATAGGAAAAATATGCTCCAAAAAATATACTCCCAATAATGTTGAGTTTGTAACTGATGCCTACTGCTACTGACTGGTGACTTCAGTCAGGGAAGTCCTTTGGCATGTAGAGCTTTGCTGGTTTAAAGGAGATCTGTCTTTCTTTGACCTCAAGCCGTTCTTTGAGGTGCTGCTTAGTCACGTGCGGGTGCTCCGTGGGGTGCACAGCCCTCCCATGACAACCCTGGACAGGCATGCATGTGCAAACCAGTTCAGCAGCCTAATTACGCCCAGTGGTGGTGGCTGCGTGTTACTTGCTTGTTTGAGTAGCTGGGAAGGAGTAAACGTTAAAGAGACTGTGTAGAAATTCTTCCCAATGAGGCAAACTGGTGTGAAGTGCTTCTACAGGACATGGTTGAGGAAGTGTTCTGGTAAAATCCAAGCTGTTGAGGAGTTGGTTTTATTTAGCTTAGAGGAGATGTTCCCCCTTTGCATCTTGGAAATGGTAAGAGCTCTGCTGCCTCATCAGCCTGTCCCCCTCAGACAGTGTGAGAATCTGCATCTAGCTCAACTATGAAATAATGTCCTAGTAGAATTTTTTGGTCAGGATTTTTTTTTTCTCATTAAAGCTAGACCCTTTTAATGTCTTCCTCCTTGGGTAGCTACATTTTTCAGATACATCTATATTGCTATGCTTCTCTTTTCCCTAGAGAGCACACAACCTGAAACTACAGGGCTTTTGAATGTTTTCCCATACGCTGGCCCTGCTGATTCCTCCCTTCCCCCGACAATTTTGCAGTTTCCTGACTTCTGCCTTGATCTGACTTCTACAATAGGCTGATCAGAATATATAGGGATAGTTTTTAGATCCCACCTCTTCAGGCTTGTGTTGAGTTAGGATTTTGTTTTTTCTTTTTCTGTGCTCTTGAACCATAAGAGGCTTCGGATTCTTCTGCCACTGTAACACACTGCAACCTTGTCACTCCCAAGGCTCAGTTGTTTATTCTGCAAATTTTCTTACTAGGTGGTATGTTTAGGGTCTGCCCTAAAGATTCAGTGACACGCTTTCCCAAGTTGACTCATTTTTCATGAAAATATATCTAATTTTTCAGTCACCTCCATACCCCTGACCCTGCAATGTTCACAGTTCCCATCTGGATTTGGTGTCATTAACAGACTTTGCTAATGTTCCCACAGATATCCAACAATAATAACCTTACTGCTCACATTACTGGCTCCTCATTTTGTTCCTCAGCATGATGCTGTTTATTACAAATATTTACTTAAACCATGTGAAGGAGGGTCAGCAGTGAGGGTATTTGTGAAGCAACTTCCTCAGTTTGCACAGTGGGTGTGGTGTTACAGCAGTGCTGTTTTCCTGTGTGGTGGCCAGAATGGATTTGAGCTCGGACTTGGGGAGAGAGGCTTGCTCTGAGGTGATAACTTGTCTTCAAGGGGCGCTGTTTCAGACACCTCACCCCTTTCTGTGCTCTGACTTTTGGGCTGAGGCTCTTCTCATGTGGAGGGAGGAATTCCTCAGCCTCATGGCTTTGGAGACAGAAAGAGAAACCGTCATTTAAAGCTTCCCTTTGTGGAGGAGGAGCAGGGATTGTTACAGGTGAGAGGATGAATTCTTCTGCTCTGTGTAAATCATCCCTCTCCGTTCAAAGGAAAAATGGCAGGGACCACATCAGAACTGAATCTTTTGGGATAATATTCAGAGTTTCTAGTGTGCTGTCCACCCCCGTGTGATGGGGGTGTGTGTCAGAGCTGTCGCTGAGGTTGACTTTCCAATTTGTCTGATTTCCTCCTGTAGTGTTCTCAAACAGTGTAAAGATGTGGAGCTCTCCTTCAGTGACGTGACGGGCAAGCCTGAAGCCTTCAAAGGCACCAAGAAAGGGATGCTATATCTCACCCCTTACAGGGTAAGTCTGATGCCAACAGGGCTTCCCCTTTCTCAAGGGATCTTGTGGACTTTAGACCAGAAACCTAGTTGGTGACAGGAAAAGTGATTTTTGGTATGGGAGGAGCGACTGAGGTAGGAGAAGGGAAGGTGGAAATAGGATAGTTTGTGCCTGTGTCACAATCCCAGTTCCCTACAAAGGCACATGCAGTCCTGGAAATCGCTGTGTAGAGAATATATTTCATATAATATATTACTTCTTTGAAAACTGTCATAGCTTATCCTTAAAAAGTAGAACAATGAAACTCTGTAAATGTGCATGTGTGTTTTAAGTGGTATATTCTTTTGGAACATATGTGTTTCAGGTGAGTGAGCCATGCCATCAAATCTGTTTGGGATCCTGCAGTATGAAGGCTGTGCAATAACAAAATGCATACTGATACTAGGGGTTAAATTATCCTCTTTTTTTGGATGCTGCTACAACTAGAACTACATGACCACCATTTATATCTAATTCAAGTAATTCTGAAGCATTCCCTCCTGTCTTGCAGATGATCTTTGTGTCAAAGGGCAAGGATCCTATGCTGTCTTTCATGATGCCATTTTATTTGGTGAAAGGGTGCTCAATTGAGCAGCCTGTTTTCTCTGCCAATTACATCAAAGGACAGATTCAGGCCGAGGCAGGAGGTATGTGCCCGTACTTTGTAGGCTGAACTCTTCCCAAGTGTCACAAGTGCGTTTCTCTTCTGCTGAACATCACATAAACAGCTTACATGCACAGGAAAGATGGACAGAGTAGCTATAGCAGTATAGCTAGCGTGTCCACGCTAAGGTAATGCATGTCTTCTGAACTTTAAGGCACTGCTTCAGTGTTACTTTCTGCCCCCAAAGCTGCCCCTGGTAACTGACTTTTGCAGGATGGCTGTTGCTTAATCCTGTAACTCCTGTCTTGCTGTGGATGTCACGTTTACTTGGTTTCCACATATGTTTGTTTTCCCTTGTCTTTGACCTGGAACAGTGGGTAAGCGACCAAGTCACCAGTCATTGGTATTGACAGAATTAGCAACCGGTTTTGTTTTCTGGAGGTTAGTAGACACTTACCAACTTGGGTCAATTTGTGTCCATCTAGGATGCTGCTGTTGATCATTGATTTAGCTTTGTTCCCAATTTGGTGATGAAACTCTGGTAAGACTGAGAGTCATGACTAAACATGGGGAATTGCAGAAGGTAAATAGGGGCTAAAAACAAGGCTTCTTGTTCAAATTTCTTCCCTCTTCAGCCCTGGAATTAGTTTATGTGCATCTTGATGGCATCTGGAGAACTTATGCTTTTGCTTTCTGTTTGTAACAATGTTTTAAAGTGGCTGGATCCTCTTGATTGTGGATCAGCCTGCTTTCTTGGGCTGAAATCATACTAATACAGTGGTTTTAAAGAGGTGAATCTCCAAGGAGATGACTTTATCCATGGTGGATTGTTTTGGTATGTTTCTGTCCTTTATTGCTACTTTGTCCCCAAGAGACTGTCTCTACTTTTACTAATTTCATTGTTAGACAAGGAAGATAGATCTTATACTTATTTTATGAAATGTCATTTAAATAAGATATCTTTTTTTCTAAAAACACCAAAAAACCAAAGCATGCCCCAAAAAACCACCACCAAAAAAGCCCTTACAAAACAAAGCACTTTTACTTATCCTGCAAGGTCATTGCCTACTTAAATTTCTTCTGAAAAATTGCTATTACACCTAAGTATTTGTAATCTATCTGAGCTTCTCTGGGTCAAAGAGATTAAAAACGTTGCATTTGATTTAAATGCTAGCTTGAGTTGCAGATGCTGATCTGTAGTCTGCTGAGGTCAGCAATAAAACTTCATTTGAGGGCTTTCGATAAAATCCTCAGTGAAGAAAGTGTTCTTTCTTCACACTGTGTTCATTATTAGGTTCTGCTAAACCTTTCAGGAAAGGACAAAACAACCTACTATCTAGAGTAAGCTGCCTCTACATAACTGTAGTGGGGATCGTCTTTTAAAGGGTAAAGAAATTCCTGATCTTCTTGAGATACTATTTTGGGGGACATCTGATAGCAGCACCATGATTCTGTCCTCCTGGCAACATGATGCAAAATAGTTTTGAAATAAAGAAGAAAAAATAATTTTAATATTAACCGTTTTACTGGCTTGACTGCTACTGAGGAGGTTAATAGTCTGTTTCAATTCTAATTCTCTCTCCTAGGTGGCTGGGAAGGACAGGGGACGTTTAAACTGACTTTCAACAGTGGAGGAGCCATTGAGTTTGGACAGCTGATGTTCAAAGCTGCCTCTAATGGTAAGGGATCTTCAGAGCCTGCAGTTCCCTCACGGTTGGCTGAGCTAGTTAGAGAATACTGCTTTTTTTGAACCTCACAAAGTGGGCGAAGTGGGTTGCCCAATGCACTCTTCCACAGCAATGTATTTTTTTGACTTTTGGGGGGAACTTCTGTTTTCCCTTCCAATCCTTTTTATGTTAATGCTTTGTGCAATCAGAATATTCTGTGGTTTGTGCGTCTGAGGTGGACCACCTTTTTCTACAGAATGTTATTCCTCCTGGAATAAGGTTGAAATATGTGATAGTGAAAAATTGATCACTTAACCCACCCTCAGTTCAGTTCTGTAATAGTGGAGTAAAACGGGGGAAGTTAACATCTCCCCATTTGGAGAGGAGGGGAAAAATAAAATTAAAAAAATAACTTCTATTTAAAACTTTCAAATGGAGGAAAAATGTACTTTTTTTTTTTTATAAAGTTTTAAAAGAAGAAGAAAAGCACCCTACTGATACTTGCTTTAGAATGGTCTTTTATTCTAGCAGAGGGATCCCTGTGATGGGATTGGTACCTGATAGCTAGTGTTCTTGCAGCTGGTTTCCGTTAGCACCCTGTGAACTTGCAGCAAGGACACTTTTCAAACGCAGTACTGTGCCAGGACTCTATAGTGAATTCAGATGAAGGGAAATGGTGCTGCGTGCACAGGACTATTTTCCTTTTGTTCTATACATTTAGTTATAACGAAAAGATGCCTGGCTTATTAAATGTGTACTCTTTAGCTTCCAGTGGCATTCCTCTCCAGAACCCTGGCTATGGCTATACACCTGTGCCCGGAGGGTATGCACCCACTCCCCCTGCTCCAGGGGGGTATGCACCTGCGCCAGGGGGCTATGCTGCTCCTCCACCGCCAAACGGACCATATCCTTATACACCACCTCCGATGAATGCCTATGGGCCTGCTCCGCAGCCGATGGGATATCCATACACCCAGACTCCAGGTTTGAAAGTTGTGCAATGATGACTGGTAGGGCTTGTTTGCTGTTAGTTGTAAAGAAATCACAGCGGTATGGGGAGGATTGCTGGAGTTTTGTCTCCATCAAGGATCCTTGTCCTTGGAAAAATCTGTTGCGTGCTATTGATCACACCCGTGTGTGTCTATAGTTGCAGCTGGACGGGAGGTCAAAATGTGGGTGTAAATTGTGCTGCTGCTTGACAGAGAATTGTTGCCTGCTGGTGTGATGGGCATTAGCAAAATGTCAAATCTGTGCTGCCTGCATCCCTGCCAAGCCTGCAGAGCTTCACCAGTGCTCTTCTCCAAGGCTAATGTGCTGCTGGGCCTGTGAGCTCTCTTCCCCTCTGTCCCATTGCCATGGTCCAAAGCATCAATCTGGTGTCATCTTTTTCAGGTATTTACCCACCACTTCCAAACATGAACCCCATGTATGTGCCACCTCCTCCCCCTTACTCTGGGCCATCTCCTGCAGGACCTTCACCCCCCTCAGCTGCACCAGCCTGGGTGGGCCCGGGGATGCCAGGTAAATGGGACTGGGGGGCTGCTAGAGTCTGGGTGCAAAAGGGGGCTTGGGCTGTGAGTGGTGGTGTGGGCAGGGCGTGGGATGAGGAAGCTGTTGTTGCAGGAGCTCCAAAACATCTTGATCTACTGTTTGAGATAAGAGTGGAGGGGGAGCTGCTCAGATCTGCACTGCACAGCTTGTGGTGCAGTGTGGTTGGCTCTAGCCAGCGTGCAGCTTTCCTGAACTGCTCCCAGTTCAAACCCAGCTTGCTGCGGTTGCTGCTGGCTCTTTGGACCTTTGTTGACTCCTCAAAAGACCTATAGCTGGGGAGAAGGCTCTGGGGCTGGGGCCGCTACCTAAGGCATGTAAGATGAGCGTGTCCTATACTTCCTTCTCCTTCCTTTCCAGGGAGCAATAAGGCCACGGAAGCCTCTTCTAGTGCTTATTACAACCCTGCCAACCCACACAATGTCTACATGCCCATGGTGAGTGCTGTTGTGGTCTGCGTGAGCCTGCTCCCTCTTCTGTCACTAATAGAGTGGTTTGCTTTCCTAGCAAAGTGTAGTGTGCCTTCATTTTGAAAATGCACATAAAGTATGCGTTTTCCTGGGAGGTGTGGATGAAGGCTTGTTAAATCCTCAATCAGGAAAGGAGGAGGGTTTCATCCAGTGACAGCAGTTCAGTACTTGTCTTACTCTTCGAGGCACAAAAAATTTGTATGGGCACAAAGAACACACAGGGCGCTCTGCTTCTGTGGTGCCCAAGAGTGGGGAGAGTTAAAGAGCAGGTCACTTAAGGATGAGAGCGTGTGGGTTTTGTTTTGTTTTGTTTTTCTGGGCTGTGAGGAGACAGGGAGGTCTCTTACAGTTCAGTGGCAGCTGGTAGGTGGGCTGTAGGCTACATCTAGTATGTGACAGCCAGTCTCCCTGTGCCCTTCGCTGCCTCGCGTGGCTCTGTGGTGGGCTGGAGACTGATGGAGCAGCAAAGCTGGCCCTCAGCCCAGGGGCTTGCAGTCTGCTCAGTCGGAGCTATGAACATCAACAGAGACAGTCTTAAGTGCTGGAAGTGAAGGGAGGATGGGGATTAAAACAGATTAAATGGTCTATTTACAATAGACCATTTGTTACCTGTTTTTGAGGGGACATTCACTAGAAACATTAAGGGAGGTAGCATGTATTCTGGAGCACAAGTGATACTACAGTGATGAAATGACAGCGTAAAACACAGCACCTGTCTCTGTCTTGTAGCTTACTGAAGAGCAGTCATTGACTCTACTGTATCTCCTTCCAGGATCAGCCACCTCCTTATGCACCTCCTGAGGATAAGAAGAACAACTAACAGAAGGAAACTGCAACCAGCCTCCCACACTCTCTCCCTGAAGACAATTTGGCTGTAACTGCCCCTTGGGTTAGCATATCTCTAGGTCTCCCTGTGTATATATACAATATATGTAGTGCTGGGCAGCTGAGCGCCTGCCCTCCTTAAACATTAAGTCGGTGGCAATACAAGGCAAAACAACAGCATTTTCCTGCTTATTTGCTTTATCTCATGGGGTCGAAGCACTAACCTTTTGGTCTGCCATTGGCTTGAGGAGAGAGATGGACTTCTTAAACCACCAGTAGACCGTATCACTAATCTAGGACTAAAATATGAAGGCTCTGGGATCTTGGAGTAAAACTACTTGGAATGCCAAACTGTTGACTACTTCTGAAGCACCATCCAAGGGGAAAGGCATAGAGAGCCACGAGGTTCCTTGCATAAGCCCTTGGGTGACCCAGAAAGGTGTTAAATTTCCTTAAATTCTGGCATAAGCTCAGCGTGAGATGGGACTCTGGAAATCCTGTATTGTGCTGGAACCGTGCGTTTCATGTCCTGGACTAACAGTCACAGGGTGATGAACTTGGGAAGCGCATCCTAAGAGACATTGAAGCATTTTGCTATGCTAGAGGGAAGGTTATGGGCCCCAGTCAGCCTGCCTTTGTAGACATTGAATAGAAAAGCAAACGAAGTGTGCTGCAGGGCAGTGAGGTGATACTGGTAGGTGTGCGAAGCAGTCTTCCTTTCCCTCTCCTAGAAGCAGGTCCCGTATCTGTGCAATGATCCTGTGTCAAGCAACCGTTCTTCAAGCGTAATGGAGTCAAGTGCTGCGTGGGAGGCTGCTTGCCTTGGAGCAAAATACGCTATGTTAGGAAGATGACCTGGTACTAGGCTTGTCAGGAGACAGGTCCCGCAGCCCTGGCTCCCTCTGCTGAGTGAGCTGGTGCTGTGTGCTGGCTCCACAGGGCAAAACTGGCCTTTTCCTTCAGCCGCAGCAGCCAGGGCGTGTGTGCCCACATCTGAGCAACGTGGGCAAGTGGGCACCATCATACCAGAGTTGGGTTGTGTAGGGGTGCGGTGCCCCAGCTGTCTGGTGTGGATGTTACTAATGTTCCGCTCTCTTGCAGAGACTCTGGCTGTTCAGCCACAACCTTTCCTTCTTCCCTAGGACATAGTGCCATTAAGCCTGCTCTGAAGAGAATCTCTCTAGTCTGGTGGAGACCCTTGTTATCCTTTACATATCGGGTGATTGTACTTCTTCCTACAGCCTTCCTGCCTTCACAGTGAAGGGGAAGGAGTATTTTCCCTTACTTCCCTGCATGCCAGGGCTCTCCTGTAAGTCAGGCTTGCATGACTTGCAGGTGTGAATTCCTACAGTAGTCCTGCATAGGGGGAGTACATTTCCATATCTATAAACACCATTTAAGTCTTGAGTTAGAGATATTCTAATAACTCTGTATTTAAAAAAAAAATCAACCATGAATGTTTGTAACTTTTGAATTGCACTTTAATACAAGAGTGTTGATACCTTTAGCTGCCTGTTCACTGTTGTGTGTGTGTTGTGTTGACCTTCATTCCTGCCTACTGCCCAGAAGGCTGGAACAAACAACAACCACTGGTGGTGTTTTCTGGGATGGGCTGTGGGCCAGTCCTCCTCTCTCCCTGGTGCATGGCTAAGCTGGATCTGGAATCAAGTAACTGGTGGGAGAGAAGGTGGGACTCATCCTTTTGCTGCCTGGGGAAGGTGGAAGGCTTATTTGTGCCTTTGCTCTCAGCCAGATCTCCAAAACTGGCACGTGTTTGCTCATGTCCTTGAGGCAGGCACAACACTGCATTTGGCAGGCGCAGTGTTGCCACCCCACCACTCGCCAAGGCTGTATTTTAGCAGCTTTCCTGTGTACATTTACTGCCTGTCTTTAGGCTATAGGAAGACCTGTCTTTAAGAGGAACTCCTTGCTAGCCAATTTTTTTCCAGTGAGGGGAAAAATAAATACATGGTAAAGAAAAATGGCACTTAACTGTGGACTGTAAAATATGTCTCCCCTTGTGTCAAGGAAAGCCTGTGCCCTGCTG